CAGGCATTCTGCTTTTCTCATGGGATGCAGGAGAGCTGAGACAAGAATATTAGCTCTGCTCTACTGTCCTCATGCCATCATTCCCCTTGCATTGGAGGAGTAACTTTTGAAGCAGGCAGCCTGCTGTATTTATGTGTGCACATTTTTGAATCCTAGGAAATTTGGGTTCTAAATAATTTCAGGGAATCTGCATGAGTAGATTCTTCCTGCTGCTGAAGTTATTATCCCTTCAGCTCATGGAGGACAATGAAGTGGTGGGGATCTGGTAAGCTGTACGTCCTCGCTGTCCCTCCTCACGTGAAGGATTTAGGGCTACAGCTGACAAATAAAAATTATTAAAAACTAATCATAGGGTATAGTTCAGACCATTAGTCCAGCCATAATATGGTTTGATGTCACGCTAATTGCAAAAGATACCAACCCTGTTTGGGGCTTTTTAATTATCACAGGCAATATAATTAACATATCAAACATTTATAAACTTGGGGGGTTATAGTGTAGAGTGATGGGTGAATAATCTGAGGGCTTCTCACTCTGCCACAACCCCCACCTTAATTACAAAATAAAAACAATGAAACACACACATATACAGTGATTAAATATTTAAAAAATGACAAGTGGTGTAATAACTTTCTTGATCTTTTGTTAGAATTCAAGTAGTTAAAAGGACAAGTATGTGATTATATGCAATGGCCAGCCCTAAACAGAACTGTTCACTTAATATTATAAATAGTTCAAAAGAAGGAAAAGCGAGGAGAAGAAATATGAATGTGTAAAAAGCAGAAAAGAGGTGGGAATTATGTATTCTTCACTTTTTTTCCAAGATTGTGCTCATAATGGCCAGTCAAGGAATGAATGTTATCCATTCCACTGGTAAAAAAATCATGATCTACTTATCACAATTTCTTTGTTATCCAGGACATTACTCAAATGTATATGTGCTTCTTTTAATCAAGAGCTAAGCAGAAAGACTACACTCTTGGAATAACCTTCCCCTTTTCTTTTTTCTTTTTAAAAACCTGTCACAGAAACAGCATGTTGAATCTGGTCTTTGTGCAGGCAAAATGTAAGTCGGTGCATGACTGTTAAGGATGTGGGATAGTAGGCAGCTGCAATGCCATTTAAATTTGACAAACAAGACAGAAATCTAGTAATAGGGTATATGCTGATGATATAAAAATTTCTCAGGTAGAATTGCAGCAGCTGAAGAGCTCTTAAAAGAAACTTCATTGCACACATGGAGTTACATTTACTGTACTGTATTGGAATTCTTTGACTTTCACTTGATAATGACAGCACATTGATATAATTGGCTGTGCAAAGGAAACACTCCTGGCAAAATGACCACCTCACACAGAAGTAATCTTCTATATATAATAAAGCCATTCTGAGGGAAACTGTCAGCATTTAAGTTTCACAGAACTGGCAGAGAACACAATAATTCTCATTCGAGGGGGAAGAGTAAAAGGGTTACATGGCCACATGAAGTGAGTATTGAGTTGGTATTGGAATAATAATAGTATAAAGACATAAAATTCAAGGGTCTTCAAGTTTCAAGATCTAAGCTCTATAATGCCAAATGTTCCATTTTTAAAATAAAAAATGATATGAGACCACTTTTAATATTTTTGAATGTTTTGTCATTAGACACACTCTTTCAGTTTCTTATTTCTGATCTTTCCATTTCTTCCTCCGTTTGCCTTTCTCAGTCCTTTCTTTTCTCTCTCTCTCCAAAAGGCAGTGCTCAAAGTAGAGTAGGTTTGGGCAGACTGCTACTTGTGCTTGTTTCCTTTTGGTGTGTGAAAGATTCCTGATTGGATAAGACTGCTCAGAGCATATTCAGCTCCTCTGCAAAACCCAAGAGAGCTGAGGATGCGTACACACAATACAACCTTACAGTTAAAGCACTTTTAGAACACTTTTGAAGCACATTACTTTCCCCCGAAGAATCCTGGGAACTGTATTTTTGTAAGGGTGCTGGGAGATGTAGCTGCATGAGGAAAAGCTGTACAGCTGCAAATAAAACGTTTTAAGTGCAATATGACACTAGATGGCGATGGAGAGCCTTATGGAAAATTCAATGTATTTTTTAAAATAATAATAATAAGCATTTTCAGAACGGTTTTCATATGTGTCTAGGTTCCATCATTGTAGGCTGTCAGTAAGGGGTGTTCATGTGAACGTTTTGAAATAAAGTGTGAAGGTGGCTGTATGTGCTATCCTCACTTTCCTCCATCACACTCCCCTTACACCCGCACATAGAAACTCTTAGAATGAGCTGGAGGCATGTACAGTAATATGTGAGTAGAACATATTCTAACATAGGTGGGGCAGCATGTTCGTGCTGGGTGTTTCCCACATGGCCTGGTTCATGCCTTTCAATATGTGGAGGGAGTCTTCTGAATCCCTTTCGTTTCAGTTGAGGGATGGGTGTGAGGGGCTCATTCACCCTCACTTCCCATATCCAGCTGCCATGCTGTGGGTTTCCCTTCCCAGAGTAAGTTTGGGAAAGGAGAAGGGCTGGTGAATAGGGCAGGATGTGAGCTTCCTAAACGTGGTCCCTCTTAGTTTCTCAAAAAGACCTTGAAAAGACCTCAAGTTTTGGTTTTTGGTGAAATCTCAACCATCACTACCCCTCCCAAACCCCAAATCAATAATGAGGAAAGACGAGAGTAGCTCATCCAGCACTAAAGCAAACTCACATGCACTATAATCTGCACTTCTGCATTGCTCTACTAGTTTCTGTCCTGTTACTCTGCTGTTTAAATAGATTTGTTAGTACTTTTTTGCCCCTTGTAATGTATTTCAAGATGTACTTGTGTGTTTTAAGATTAGGCTACAAATTTACACCCACTTACCTGAAAGCCGTAGTAGCTGGGGAGGTTATTGATGCTTACTGAGAGAGAGAGAGAGAGAGAGAGAGGGAGAGGGAGAGAGAGGGGAGTAGCTTGGCATGTGTGATGCATGGCAATGGAGCCAGTCCAAACCCCCTGCCATGCTAAGCTCCTTGTGCCATGCCTTGCCCTTCCCCTCTTCCTCTTGGTAGGTGCCAGTGGCCAACTGTGTCGGCAAACTGGGATATCACTGTTACCCCACCTGTCTCGACAAACCAGCTCTTGCTGCTTGAAAGCAGGAAGCACAATGAGTTGTAATCAACTTGCATTCAGAATTGGCTCCAGGGGCGGGTGGTCAGTGGCTAGGGGGACTAGGCTAGTTCCTTAAATGTTGCTGATAAATTAAAGTATTAAAGCTTGGTGCCTCCTTCCCAAAGCCAGGGAAGCTTTTGTCTGACTTAGGGAGGCGTGATGCTCAAGCACACGATGTCACCCACCCCATTGCCCTTGCAAGCTGGTGCCTCTGGCCCTAACTGTTCCCCTATGAAAAATGTCATCGCCCACCACTGATTGGCTGATTGAAATGAACAGAGCTCATTCATACCCATCAATTTTGATGTATCTATTCCGAATAGGAACACCATTGGCTGGAGCCCATTGAATTGAATTGGATTTACTTCTGAATAGGCATGCATGGGATTGCACTGCTACTGCAGTAGTAGTGATGGTTGCTATTCTTGTTCACACACCATTGCCTGTAGAGGAGCTGGCCAAGGAAAGTCTCTGCAGAAATGTTGCTTCTTTTGCTTTAAAAGGTCAGCTTCCTCTTGGTTGAGTGTCAAGCTGAATTCACTGTTTCATGGCTTACTTCTCTCGAGGCAGCAGTTTTATTTCACTGTAGAAATCCATGGCACAGATTCAGGATCAGTGCTGTATTTCCCCCCCCCCCCAAGGCATAAAATGATGCAGCATCCAGTATTTCACTTTTCAATATACCAAATTCAGAGAAGCAACCATTTGTCATTCCATTTCCAGTGTACTATAATCTGTCACTTGGGGAGATTTTCTATATACTTATGAGTAGTTGTTGCTGTTGTAAATTTTGTATCATTTCAATTTACGTTTTCCTAAAAAAGGCTGGTAGGTGGACAGAGGCCTGCATTTCTGGCCTGATATTGTGTGTTATGCTAGATGCGGGAAGGGTACACCAGAATGTAGATGTATATTTGGCCCAAATCTTTAAATTGTATAGATTTTTTGTAGTCCTGTGAATGAAAGCAGTTGCACTGATGAATGGTATATCTAGAGTTGTTTTAGCATCATTATCAGATCAGTTTCTGGCCACAGATATGTGCAGTGCAGCAAATGCTCTAGTAAGGGTACATTGAAGCTGATGCCGTCTCTAGGTTCATATGAAGGCATTCGGGCCAATTCCAGGGTTGGGACATGTGAGAGGGAATTGTTTTGACTGTTTTAAATACACAAGATCTCCTTAAAATGTTCTCCTTGCACCTGTTATCTCATAGGAAGCTATTTGCTTGCAACACTTCATCCCATGGTTGGAGTACTTTTATCTATGTTAGAACAAACTTTTCCTTTTCAATGTTTGCCTGGGGTGAAGAAAGCTTCCTGATCTTTACAGTGAGCCTCAGCAAACAAATGGATCATCGTGCAATGACAGCCACCATGTGGACAGAGTTAAAAGCAGCCCCCAGGTGGTGACTGACTTAAATTAATACAAGGTACTAATCTGCATTAACCCACCTTCGTTATCCAATGCTTCTAATTATTCAGGCTCACTATGTGCTCTCCACATAATGATTTAATGCTAAACGAATTGCTGAGCCTATCATTTCTAATTGTATGATGCTCTGAATGATCGCTGTCTGCACTGTCACCTGTGCAAATGACGCTCCACTTGAATTTGGCTGCTCATGGTAACAATCCATTGTTTGACAAATTTGAAAGTTTCCTGTGAATATCCATTTCTCTGATTTCTCCTAAGATGATTTGTTTCCTAACCTAGAAGAAAACTGACTTGGACCTACACAATAATCAGGAGCAAGCCAACGGCAGGGAAGGCTGTAGCTCAGTGGTAGGTCATCTGCTTTGCATGCAGAAGGTTCAGTCTTTGGCATCTCCTCGTAGGGAAAAGATCCTGGTCTGAATTCCTGGGTAGCTTCTGCCAATGTGGTCAACACTGAGCCAGATGGACCAATTGTCTGACTCAGTGGAAGGCAGCTCCCTTTGTTCCTATGATGCTGGAACACAGCCCTTATCACCCCTAAGTATTGGTCATGCTAGCTGGGGCTAATGAGAGTTGCAGTCCCACAGCATTTGAAGGGCACTACCTGGATGTCGGCTGTCCTTGGTATGTAGACAGCTCCTTGCTATGCATATGGCCTGTCTACCCCCAAAAAAACCAGACAAGAAAGCCAACAAGCTACTATAAATATTCTTATTTCAGAGCTGGCCTTGTAATCTTTTTTTATATGGTACATCTAAACCATTCATGAGCCAGGCTGACACGCACTATAAGGGGAAGACATATTAGCTACTTGTCATGATGCATATCTTAATATTTAGTGTTGATTGTAACATTGAGTCTGACATTGAAAACAAAACACCAGGAGCTCCTTTGCTCGTTTAACCTTATAAGTTATGTGGTGCTTTAAAAAGAGCCCTTTACGTTTTGCCTCAAATGGTCATGTCACATTTATATTAATCCTATTAATTATGTTTTTAATCTTTCTTGCATTAGCTTGGCCACTGGTGATTATCAGAGACGGCAACATGTATCATGCAATTAATTTTAAAGTTATTTCCCCTTTCTTTTTGTTTAATAACAACTTCCATGACATTGTTTCTTTAGGCCTTGCTAAAGGCATCCATTTATCTTTGCAAGTGAAAGTATGAATACCATATTTCCAATATATAAAAGAATACAGCAGTATCTGATGTAATTTACACCAGTCTGTTTTCCCCCAATGCCTTTGAATTACAAATAATTAACACACTTCCCTTTTAAACAAAAGCAGAGGATAAATGATCACATTTCTTCTCTTTCTTCTGAAAGGACTGGATAGATGTAAGATACCTCTTGCTACAGCAAAGTGCCAGAGGTATGATTAATGGCATCATCATTGCAGTGTAATTTACTTAGAAGGACTTACACAACTGATAAAAGTGTCATGTGCTTTTACTAAACGGCAGCCTAAGTGAACTGTATTTCAGGTTTTTATATCCTCATTTTGGTCTTACCGTAAGACCCACAGAGGTTGCCTTCCTAGACATGCAGGATGGCTGATGCAAGTTAAATTAGCTCTCTTTTTTGCATGAAAAATAGCTTCTGTCTGCATTTAAAAAAAACCAAAACTATGGTGAAGAGGAAGAAATTAGGTCACAAAATAAAATGTATTTACAGACTAATGCACATTTCATGTGGTTGGAGGAAAGTTTGATTCTTAAAAAGAAGAAGCTTGCCCTTGAAAAAGGCAATGAGGAACTAAGCAAGAGGACAAACAGGCTTCCTGCCTCCCAGCACCCCACCTCCTAACAAAGCCCTTCAGTCTCTGGAATAAGAGCCACTTTACACATCAGCCCATTCCTACATAGAGGTTCAGTAGCTGCACTGTTTTGTTTTTGCCAAAAGGTGGGATGTGATAGATAAAGTAGCAGTCAAGTACAACATTCCTTGTTTTCCTAGAGTGGGCATGCAGGGGAATGTTTGGTCCAGCCAGTCAAAAACTTCCTGTTTCCTCCTGGCTAGGATATACTTCCTTTGCACATGACTAGAGGTGGGCGTGACCTTACCTGTCCAGGTAACACAAAAGGACAAGGCATGCTGCCACACTCTCTTCCATCTTTCTTTCATCATGTGAACTGCAGTGACTGCTAGCTTGCAGTCACTGGGATTATTCCCCCATATGGGGTAGATCCACATGCATATATTACTTGTAACTAAGTCTGCCTTCAGGGATCCAACTGTGAACTGATGATGGGAATAAACTTCTTTTATTGACTTTAAATAAGGTTGTCGTGTGTTTATTCTTGTAAGAGGGATATAAGGGAACTTACCAGGAACCTAATAGCGAGAGGCTTACACAAGCCTGCAACCAGTTATCCGCTGTGCGTTCAAAAGGGGAATGTGAAACTCTGCTAAGGAAAAGGAACTTGCTAGCACAAGTTAGGAAGGATATTAATAAACAATATATCCTCTCCTGCCTCCCTAAACATTCCCACAAAAATGCTGTTTGGGCAGCCACTGCCAACAGCTCCGTGAAGAAGAAATAACAGCACCCATGTTATACTTCAAATCGAATGGAACAGTTTGGTCTTTCCCCTACATTAAGATTTTAAAATCAAAATGCTATGAGCCCCTTATTCTGTCAGAATAAACTTTTTTTTAAAAAAGGGCAGGCAGGATTGCCTCTTTTGTTTCTTGTTTGTCCACTCCCACCCCACACTTTCCTTCTAAATATGACTGTAATGCAACTGTTCTGAGAATTCAGCAAGGCCCACTAGTCATGATGGTGATTTATTACCCCCAGTTTCAAAGGCAGCATGCTTGTGAATACTAACCAGTTGGTGGGAAACAAAGGGTAGGAGGGCGCTGCTGCATTGCTGCCCTGCTTGTGGGCTCCCTATAGTCATCTTGGCTGGCCAATGTGTGACTAGCTTGCTTGACTAGATGGGCCTCTCTTGCTTGGTTCAGGAGGGCTCCCCTTGATGTTCCTTGAGATGGCACTGTTGCAAGTTCTGATTGTCCTCTGGCTGCCAAGCAAAAGATGTTGTGTAACACATTTAGATAGTCTTTCTTGTGGACCCAGGAGAAGCTGTATGGAATATGGAAAGTAACATGAGGTGAAAATTAAAGACATTACATGGTGGGAGTATTAATGAAGGCTATAGCTCATAAATTATCATCACCAAGTTATCTCAGTAGGAAAGGTGACTTGACGTTTCCCAGACTGCGAAGGATTTTACATTCACATTTGGAAATAATGATGGAGAGTTTAATCATCAACTTACATTAGGTCTGTAATTCACAAGGGGGCGGTTCCATTCTTCTTGATATGGATCATTGGCCTCTAGCCCAACATCTCCTCTGACTTTTATCTTGAGTTCCTACATTTTTCTAATACTCTTTCTTGTTAGGGAGATAATTTAAAATCAGTTGGGCGTAAAAAACAACCAGTGTTCTTATTTCCTTTCAGATTTTTGAGGGTAGGACAATCAGTGTGGCTTTCCCTGAGGCAATGCCGGATTAGCATCTCTGATCTGACAAGAGTATGGATAGCCCCTTATGTTCTGGTGATGTGTCTCCATGGGAGGTAAGAAGTGATGATCAGAAGAGTTGACCCCTTTTGAATTCTCCTCCTAGACAGGTGTAGGGGACAAGGTGTCTTCACCTGAAAAGGACTATAGGTTGAAGTTTGGGCAAGGAAGAGTAAGAGTACTGAGTTTGGGCTCTGTAAGCATCTTATTTTGGCTGTTTCTACAGTGGGAGATGTCTGTTGGCTGCTCAACTTGTGCCTCCACCTGTGTATGTTTGTTAATAAAGACATGTATTACAAAATACCAAGAATCCCTCAGTGACATCCTTTCAAATGGAGCAAAGTCAATACAACCGCTAAGCCCCTGGAACTTCTCACTGCCCAGAGAAGTAGGGGGGAAATTGGGGGAAAAACTTAGGGGAACACACATCTTTAAGCAGGACTGGGGGGTGAGGTGGAAAGATATGTGATTTATCTTATGGTTTAAAATTATTAAGATAATTAATTTTATTTTGAGATAAGCATGCAGCTAACATGGATTTCAGAAAGCATACTGACCACAAGTGATTTAGACCACCAACGAAAAGTGTTTAGCTCTCCTACCGTGGTTCAGCTGAAATTATTGTTCATTGTTGTGTTGATCTTTGCTACTGAGGACAAATCCCATTATTGGTGTTTTCCACATTGATTTCCCAAGAATATATCCAGCAGTTTCTTTTGAGATTACTGAAGAAGGAGCTACATATTTTGGCTGTGTAATTGGTTGGAAGACCAGAAATAGAAGCAAGTGGTAAAAATGAGTTAAAGTATCCCATGAGGGAAAATGAACCAACAGTTATTTCAGTGTAACAGAGGAAACAGCAAAGAACAGTGAAAAAATGCTGTTATTAGATAAAGTGGAGACAAAAGATTAGTGAAATATACTCAAGGTGAGCACAGTTACAGTAAAAGTAACAAAACCAAACAATTAAAGTAAAACATGATCAAATTACAATAAAACTAAAATATTGCAGTATAATGAAAAGCAGAATTAAAAACTAGCAGTAATAGGCAGTACCTAAACAAGCTTGCTAGAAAATATGGCCTTTCAGTACAATCCTAGGCATGTCTACTTGAAGGTAAACTCTTATTGAGTTCAGTGAGCCTTCCTTCCAGGAAAGTGTCTGTAGACTTGCAACCTTAGTTGCCCTCTGAAAGGTGAGCAGTGATGGGACCAGGACAACATTTGGGGGGCAATAGCTGCATCTGCTGTAGTGATTTTTCTGTGAAGCTACGAAGACTCTATTCAGAAGGAGGAAGTGATCTGCTTAGAGACAGAGAGCTCAGGAACTGTCTACTTGCTGTCTGAACAATTTTTGATTTGCCAGCCGTCTGCCACTGCACTTGGAAGTGTAATGTCTATAATTGAGCAGATTATGAAGTCATTCATTATCTATCATGGTGCAAGTTCTGAGTTTATGTGTTTCATGCGCATAATCCTCTCTCACAGTCTATCTTGAAATCAGTCACACTCCAGCATGATGACCAAGTTACAAATCAAAACGGGTATGTGCAGAAGAAGAGTTCAAGCTTGGTTTTTAACAGATCAAACTGTTAGGGGAAGGGAATATGTTTGCATCCCAATGACTTCCCCAAGTGCAACCTATCACATAAATGGATAATACCCATTCATTTATAAAGAGAAAGGACACTTGTAGCGGGGGCAAAAGGTGCCTTCCATCCACCATTGCCATTGGATGGTTTGGCATTCATTGGCTAGGATTCCATAAATAAATCCATAGGACTCCACGATTTCATAAAGAGGGGCAATGTGTCTCTTTGAGCAGAGCATGCAGAGATACTGCACACCCTTTAGAGCCCTTGCAATACGCTCAGCCCAGCCTCATGCCTGTCATAATTATGGTCATTTTGCTACTGAATGCATAAAAACCAAAGAGATGCATAAAAATGTAATATGACGTTTTCTTCTGGTTTGCTGCTTCCTTGCCCCTTCTTGGTATCAGGATCACTGTCTGCCTTTGTATTTAAAAAGTGACTTGTGCTTTTTGATAGTAATACAGCAGAAATCCAGGAAACAATAATGGCAATAATAACAGCATAGTAATGCAGACAGTAAACCTGAAACAGTAACCACTGCTGGAAGAGTGGTAGTGAGTGATGGCGGTGTTTAGGCAGACTGCTGATGCAGGAATATAGAAACTGGAAAGATATCAACCAGCCTGATTTAAGACCAGAGGAGAGAGAACAGCACGGAGAGATTGATCATCCTTTTGGTTGAGGTCCACGGCCCGCATCAGAGCTTTTGGGATTGATGTCACGCAGTGCCATCAATCTCCAAGAGGCAAATGGGACTACTATTCTATATGAAGAATGGGTCATATTAAATACCTTGACACTGACTAGATTGAGAACTGCAAAATGACTATGGAAGAGTATATGTTTGTAGAGATAAATACAGTACTGATTCTCTATACAGTTTGTTGAACAACGACAGTAATAACATAAAAGAGAGAGTCTGTTTCCTAGCTGAACTTCAGGAATGGGCAGGTCAGAAAGAAAGGAGGAATATGAGCCATGCAATATATCGCTAAAAGAATCTTTAAACACTTCATTCATTACAGCGTATTTTTCACAGACAAAAATACGCAGCCTCCCGCTTGAACTTATAGATAATAGGTAGAGGTAAAAGTTAGAATGGAGAATGAATGTAGGTAGCTGCAGTTTTGCATACTCAAGATTTAGTTATGCTAAACAATGAAGACAGGCAAAAGAAGGCATTTGAAGGGAGGGACAGGCAGGGCTGACATCCAGGGTCATCATGCTCAGTTATCTTCCAAGGGCCTGCACTCCAGCAGGTGACCTACTTGACAAGAATTCCCTGGGCTTATTCCCATTGCAACTTGGTGGTTCACTTGCCTCTGGCCTCTGGTCCAGACAACAGTGGTGGTGAGAAGGAGGAGCAGTAGGTGCAATTCTTGTAGACTTCAGGGAGATACATGAAGAGGTTGTGGCCAAGGGACCAGCAAAACATAGACTCTGCACCAGGAAGAGAGATCCACATGTCCAGAGGGGGATTTCCATGCATAGGGGCCAGCAAAGGAAAATGGGAGGTAAAACCTGTGCCTCTCTAGATCTTGTTGGAACTCTCACCAGTTCCAGCCAGTATGGCCATAATCTGGGATTATGGATGTTGTAGTCTAGCAGTGGGGCTCACAGCTACCCTGTTCCTCCTGGACATACTCAGACAGTTTTTTAAAAAAATATTATTTCACATATTTCAAGCTTCAGCCCTGATACTGAAAACACCTCCTAGGTGTGAAAATGCATTAAGCCTTGCTAGACATTTAAAGGGTCTATGTGAAAATATGTTGATGGTTTAAGAAGAAATGGATAAGAAGTAGATCTCAGCAACTGTCCCCCTAAAAAGATTAAGCACATAGTCTTATTGCTGCTTTTTATCAGCCCCAGCTCAAAAGAGAAGTAAATTTGTACATTTTATTGGATGATTTATTTTGATTTATTTTTTCCACTAAATTTTTCCACTGCAGAATATTTTCTAGATTAAAGTCAATCACCTACTTTGCATCTTGACCATGAAAATAAAATAGCAGCTGTGAACTCCAGATCATAGGATGGTCAGCTCCAAACTCTGCTCAGTGCTCACATTCCTCTTCTAAATCAGTTTGTACATTAAGCAGCTGAGCCAAATAGGGAATGTTCAGAGCTCTAAATGAAGTGTCCACTTATTGCTTTAGACCAATGAATGGACCCTCTTCCATGTGCACTATAGACTAACAAACTCAAAAGGGAGAATGATGATCCTAAGGTCTTCATAGCAGAGTGCCCCTAACAATAGGAAAACAGTTCTAATGGATAAGTCCTTTTCGGGTGACATGCATCACGGGGCTGTGCCATTAGACTAAGCACAGGACAAAAAGCACACAAATAATACTTATTTATACTGGTAACACAGCTAGCTGCCCATAAGCAGCCAGCTAAGCAACTAACTGACTGTAAATACACTTCAGCCAAAATGAAGCACTTTTAATAAATTGTTGACAGCTTTCTGCCTTGAAAGACAGTGTGCCTCTGGGGGTGACGTCAAACCAATGGAGAATAACAGCATCCACTGTGACTGCAGAGACCTGTAACTCCTAACTGCTGCCTCCTGCATTGTTTTTGCTGCATTAGCAGCACTGAAGTGACCTCTCTGGGGTGCAAGCTGGGGCAGTGTGTATGGAGGTCCTGGGCTGCCCAGATGACAATGCTCCTCTCTCAGCCTCACTGATGTGGTCCAAAGGAAAGCAGAGCAAGCTCTTTGGCACCAGCTTAGCTGCAAGAGTTGAAGGAAGGAGGTGTACAAGGTGCCACCCAACCATCCTAGGGAGTCCACTCTGGATTAGCCTTTTCTTCTCCCAAAGATACCTTGCAAGGTAATGGAGGTTTAGGTTCAGAGTTTTCCTTCTCCTAGATGGGTGACGTTCCCAGCTTGATGGGCCCCATCTGCTCCTCATTCCCCTCTACAGAACGTGCAGAAACTGCCTTCGTGACCATTGGATCCACTATTGTTCTTGTTCGCTCAATCCCCCAGAGCCTGGCTTTTTTTGGGATGGATTTTATATGTGCCTAAATAGATTTCCCTTAATAAATAATAATATAATGCTGATACATTTAGAAACATGTTGAAATTATTATCAGCTGCAGCAGCAACTGTAGGAGAGGGTGTTGGGTTGGGTTGAAGCAACGTAAGAAGTGAAAGCAACAGAAACCTCAGAGTATGTTACTGCTTGCCTGTCAGGTTTTGCTGCCATCTTTGAATCTTGCTATTCGGCTTTGGCATTTTAAAAGAATGGGGTTCATTGCTGTCCGTTGTCAGCAGTTTCATTTTGGAGACAGGAATTCTTTTTTTTCAAATTGAAATTGCCTTTGCTGTCTGGTTCATTCACAATGATTGAGGCAAATGGCAATGAGGAGCTCATAGAAGTAAGCTCAGAATAGCGCCAGAACACAAAGATGCTTGGTGCTTTATGAAAGGCATCTGAAGGAGAAGTTATGATTAACAAAGCTGGACCAGAAAGCATCAGCAGTGGTGTTCTTATTGTACTTTTTATTGTATACCCCTTAGAAATTTTAAATTCTATTAAGTGGTATATTTTAAATACAGGAGCCATCCTGCCAACTAGGTTTAAGTAGAAAGAACTTAATGGGGTGGTTTAGGAGGGATAGCAAAAGCACTGCCATCTGAATTCCACCTTAGAATTTTTGGTCTGTCTTAGCCATGAATAGCAATGGAGAGTT